TTACAACAGATCTATCTGATCCATTACCCCATTAGCATCCACCCTAGTACAGTCCGGCCAGGTACCAAAGAAGACCGTGTCGTCAATCTGTTTGAAAATGACCTCGCATTCTTCCCTTGTGTGTAGGTCCTCCATCGTAAGGTCACTCAGTGTGGTTAGGTCAAACTGACCAGGTCTGCAATAGCCAGCATTGTGGTCAGTTCACATTTTCGACATGGATTACAATAGTCAGTATTTTATCAGTTAAAAATAAATTCCCTAGCTTACATTTAGAAGAGTAATTGAAATTGTTAATTGCCTGCCTGTGTTGCAGTGTTCATTGAAATTGTCACCTTCCTACCTAAACTCAGAGGGCTCAGTAAAGTTGTACGGTTGTATACGGATCAAGCCCATGTCGTCTTCAGAGATTCTCAAAGCCTCCAGCCTGAACACCTTGCCGTTGATATTTTCCTCTATCACAAACACACAGTCCTGAAAGGTTTGAGATCCGTTCAATATATCACCAATGATCATTGAATACTTTGTATACGATATCTATATATACACAGATACTGGCTGTACCCTAAATATTGTAAACTACAGTTATTTAAAATGATTACATTTTGATACTGTTGAAGAAATAACAAGAGCTATTATAGTTTCGCAACGGACGGAGTGACCTAGCGATAGAGGGCTAAAATCCGGGTTCATGTCAATAGAACTTCCTTGCGTTCACCCAGCACTGATGGGTACCTAACACGTAAGGGATGGTAAAGGTGGCCGGTTATAGTGCTACCCTTCATATGCAGAGTGCATAGAAATAGATGAACTCCACATGTCCCACAGACCGTTAGGTCTCAACTCTACCACTTCTTACTATTATTGTGGAACGGTGTGGTCGAAAGATAGATCATTTGACTGCTAACATGGAACCCTCGAGTTCGAGTCCCTGGCTTAAATCTTAACGCGTCCCTGAGTCCACCCCACTCAGAAAGAGAGAATGTAAAGGCTACTGAGAATAGTGCTGACCACATGACACCTACATGAAGTGTATAAACTCTATTTCATCTGCCCTAAGGATAATCTGATGCTCCTGTATGGATCCTGGTCTTGAGTCCCTTGAATGTCCTTGAGAACATTCAGCTCTGATGTGTCCTGCCTTACGTTAGGGAAAGTAAAAACGACTGACAACGTTATCCCTTCATAAGCTGAGATGATAGGAACAGATGAACTGTAAGTTGGAAAGTATATTTTTTTTTGCTTTTACTTACTGGTAGGAGAACGTCCAGCTGGATGGGGGTGAATGTGGTGTTGATGACGTCATGGATGACGTCCTCATCAAGCAGGATATCCTTCTTGACCATCTTGATAGTGCTGAAGAACCCGCTCAACATGTAAATGAAGGTGGACAGGCGGGGAGATGGCGCTGGTGAGGTACACAATTTATTGTCTTAATAGATAATGTCTTAATAATAAATTTGTGCCCATAGTTAGGGCAATTTTTATAGGAAAAAAAGCTGTGCAAATAAAACGTTGTTGTGTCGTAATAGTTCTATAGATAAGGTTGTATTAGTTTGGTTAATTGAAGAAGAGCAATGTGTAAAAAACATTGAACATTAATATTTGCTTTTATAATAATAGATGAGTCAATAGAAAATGTTGTGTAAAAATATTACAAATCTTATGCCTATAATTAAAGATATTAAAATACTAAAAAAAAAACATAAGTTATTTTTTTTAAAAATAGGTGGGTTAATTTTACTAGTTGATTCGGGCAATGTTTGTTAAAAAGGAAAAGATTAATAGTAGAAATATGTTTTTTAAGACTGCCAAAATAAATGGTAGAGTAAAATAGAAAATCGTTAAAATCTCTGTTATTAGAAAAGGCTTAAGAATAGAATTTGGCATTTTATTGAAAATAGGTGGGTCAAAAGAATTAGTTGTGTGAATTAAAAAATTGTGATAATAGAACGTTTCAAAAAACAAAACAAAAATCAAAAACAAAATTTACCTGCACAAGTCGAAGCTGTGCTCACATCTCTATAAAGTGTTAGACTTTCGATCAGCAGAAAGACCACAACAAACCTCATGGTAGCTCTAGTACACCTCAAGCTTAGCTCAACTCTTTCAACAAACTAGCGTAGTTTTTGAAGCAGATATTTAGCACTTACTCAGTTTTTCTACCTCACGTCGTATTTTTTTTTATCTCAAGGACTTATGAAGAATTTGTAAAACCTGACATTTAAGATAAATAGTCACACAATTAAAACACTAGTCGAGAGTCATGAAAGGCTGGCAATGGATTCGTGTGTAGAATTCTGAAAATACAAAGCTTAAATAGATGCAACACGAAAGTTTAAAAATTTGAAACAATAGAATATGTTAAAAACAGATAGAGGGAGATATGTTAATGTAACGTATTCATATGCAAAAAAAAAGCCTGATATGGGCGTGTCAAGTGTAGGGCATTTGAAGTGGATTAGAGGTAAATGTGTGTTTCGCTATGTGGGATTACTATTTCTATAATAACCATTAGTCGTACCGTCCAGGCCTTGCACTTGGCTCTCCGAAAAACCTATCATTAAAGGGCCACGACTAGTGTGTTTAGTAATCAGCCTATACCCGGCTTTGTTCGTGTTAGGAAATATATTACTTTTCGAATTAACCCTAGCAACAACCAACTCGAACTAACCCTAACAACAACCAACCAAAACCAAACATTAAAAAAAAACGAAAATATTACATAAAAGCAAATACAAATGCAAACACAAACACAGGCAAAAACACAAACAAAAACCAAAACACAAACTGAACCACAATCGCAAAAGACAAAGAAAAACAAAAAGAAATAAAAACGTAAATACAAACCCAACCACAAACGCAAAACCAAACACATAAAAACACAAACGCAAACATAAAAGAAAACACAAATACAAAATGCAAATAGAAACACAACCGCAAATCTAAACGCAAACTCAAATTAATGCAAATAAACGCAAATATAAACACAAACTTAAATGCAAACATAAAAGCATTCTGCTCAAAGTCCAGCACGGGGCGCCAAATCTCACCATGCTGGGGCACCGGCAGGACATTATTACTTGCTTATTTTCATTGCATGCTTAATTGGTTTATGGAGATAAGTGCTATATGTAATATTGTTAATGATTGATATTGTGGTTAACTCATGATGGCAAATACGTGATGGTGCTATGTTTGATATTTTCAAAACGATTATTTTGAAAATGTTTACAACACATTTATTCAAACGTCTAGAATTGGATTTTCTTATACATCTACAATATAAGGCTGGTAGTAGTGTGTCAGTCAGTCATTCAGTCACCGCTAAAGATTTTGGAACCATAAAAGTAGCCATCAAACTATGCAGTTCTTTTAAATTGCATCTCATTGTCTTATTATTGGTAAAATTAAATGTAAAAAGAAAAAAGTTGAACAGTGTTTTAAATAGCTCTATCATTAAACAAACTAAACGTCTACAAGTGTTGACATTTATTTATTTAACTATCATAAAGGTTTTAGAAAGTGCATTACAAGTTTAGTTAAGATACACAATTGTTAATTTTAAATAACCTTCATAAAATCTGTAAAAGTTTTTTAATAATATTACAAGCACGGAAAATCTTCCTTTTTTAAAATAAAATATTGAATGTAGGTGCATTTTAAACTACTTTTGGTATATATATATATATATATATATATATATATATATATATATATATATATATATATATATATATATATATATATACATATATATATATATATATATATATATATATATATATATATATATATATATATATATATATATATATATATATATATATTATATATATATATATATATATATATATGTATATATATATATATATATATATATATATATATATATATATATATATATATATATATATATATATATATATATATATATATATATATATATATATATATATATAAAGATATATATATATATATATATATATATATATATATATATATATATATATATATATATATATATATATATATGTATATATGTATATATATATATATATTGGGATATGGGTGTGAGGTATTTGATGATTTATGAATATAATCTTTTTATAGACTAAAATGTAGTGAATAGACTTGGGTCGAAAACAGAAAAGTTGCAAAATTAGGCTAAAATTTCTTTTCGTACGTTTAGATTTTAATTTTATTTTATTTTATTAGAGATTTGGTGGGCATGGAGCAATTCAAAACCAACACTAAATTTAACAGACACATAACAAACCTGAGTAGATTATTACCTTCAATGCTAAAGGCTGAATATCTACTGTTGTATGCGACAACTCAGTTCGTTCTAATCAATTGACATTTGAAATTTTTTATGAAAATATTGAGTACAACGCTAATTACTTTTTTATATTCAAATATTTATTAATTATTGACTATAACTATGAATAAATTTTGAATTTTGTCCAACAAAAAAAATTAGACGAAGCAATAAAAAACGAAAAAAATTTACAGTACAACAGATGTTGCGCATGCGGTGCTGTCATATGGGTCAAGGACGATCACCAACCCTTCACAAGCGAGGTGATTCATTGACATGAGTGATCTTTAACTGACCTACAATATGTTAAATCGCGTTCACTGGTGCGAAAGGTTCAACCGCAGCTGCCCGTGCAGATGAGGCGCAATACCTGGCTCAACTTTTTTTTTGAAAGACGACTCCAAAAACAAACAACTGCTGCCTTGTAATTGGTTTTTGGATGGACAGAGACTATGGGAGAAATTTCCAAAACAAAAAACGCAGCCTATAATTGGGGTCAACGGCGTTTTTTATTAACAAAAAATAAAAAACGAAGTAAAAGAAACACCACTACAGTCAATAATACAACAGTAGCGTTCATATTTTACTATATATATATGTATAATATGTATATATATATATATATATATATATATATATATATATATATATATATATATATATATATATATATATATATATATATATATATGACTGGTAGCGCAATGATGAAACCCTCTTGAGATATTTCGTCAGAATTTCAATGGCGTAGCGAAGTCGGGTGTCACCCGGTGCGGCACTTAATGGTAGCGACCCTTCCCGGAGACAAACTTTCAATTTTCGATTTGCACCCCTCCCCTCAAACTTTCGATTTGCACTCCCCCCTCAATTTTTTCCCTATATATTTTTGCTATTTTTTTTCCTTTGTGTCACCCACCTAAATGGTGTCACCCCGCCACCCCCCCTCGCTTCGCATCTGATATATATATATATATATATATATATATATATATATATATATATATATATATATATATATATATATATATATATATAATCGATAAATTCGCTACCCAGTTCGAACATTAGGCTACCACAAAAGCTAATATTCTCTGCCAATGACACACCAGACTTTCAGACTTTCTAATCTGTAGTCCTGGCTACACGGCAGACTGGCTCAGCGCACAACACGCAACAATCCAAACCAATACAGCATTAGACCTCAGTCATTTCACTTTTAAATTATGTAGCCTGCTAAACAAAACAATTGCTAATTTAAGCAATGATCAGTAGCATTAAATCACATAAACAATTACCGTCACGTAATTACAACACCGAAAACAACAATTTCACAAATAACTAGATGTTGAAAGCCGTTGGTGGTTGCCATGGTCTACCAAAGTTTTATTTTAAAAATTGGTTTCACACTAAGTAACATAAATTCTTAAAACGCCAGTATGTTGATCAGTAAATGATTCTGTGTGTAATGACGTCACTAAAATTTGCATGGCGGCTGAAAGTTCACAGCTCCACTTGTCATGTAGGGCAACAGTGGAAACCTGGATATATAGATGGATATATATATATATATATATATATATATATATATATATATATATATATATATATATATATATGTGTGTGTGTGTGTGTGTATATATGCATACAAAAACACACACACACACACACACACACACATATATATATATATATATATATATATATATATATATATATATATATATATATATATATATATATATATATATATATATATATGCAGCATTATGTAACACTTTACCTACCACGCCACGGACTATGACGTTTAGAGCTACCTACCAGGCCAGCCTTTTGTTGTCATAAGGTACCGCGTTGTCTTGTTCACGTGACTCCCGCCAGTAGATCAGTGCGGCGAACGCGTTGCATGAATATGTGACAGGGTACTTAGGATGTTGCTATCAGAAATACATACAACATTATATCAGTGTAAAAAAACAATTGCTTCCTTAAATCATTTAGCAAGATATATGTACGTGTACGTGTACGTGTACGTGTACGTGTACGTGTACGTGTACGTGTACGTGTACGTGTACGTGTACGTGTACGTGTACGTGTACGTGTACGTGTACGTGTACGTGTACGTGTACGTGTACGTGTACGTGTACGTGTACGTGTACGTGTACGTGTACGTGTACGTGTACGTGTACGTGTACGTGTACGTGTACGTGTACGTGTACGTGTACGTGTACGTGTACGTGTACGTGTACCTGTAAGTGTACGTGTACGTGTACGTGTACGTGTTCTTGTACTATTAAGTGCAGCCTATAAGAAATAAACTACATCAGATCTGACTTATTACCCCATACTCGTCCATCCGAGAACAGTCCGGCCAGGTCCCAACAAAGACGGTGTCGTCTATTTGTTTAAAGACGACATCGCACTCGTCCCTAGTGTGTAGGTCCTCCATCTTTAGGTCATTCAGTGTGGCTAGGTCAAACTGACGAGGTCTGCAATAGTTAGCTTCCTAGCCAGTTTACTTTTTTAAAACATAGATTATAATAGAAGGCATTTTCTTTAGTTTAATTTATGTAAATAGATTACAAATAGAATCGTTGACAAATTAATGTGTAATATAGCTTACAATTGTAAGAATTGTGTTCAGTTTACATGATCAAAAACGTTTACAATAGTTTACATATTGTTTACTTGGTTAAAAACAGATTTATGTGAATCGTGTACAGATAGTGTATTGATGTAGGATGTACAATGTAAATCAAGCAAATGGACAGTGTTGGTTTATCAGCTGTTCTTAACCCAGTGGTTACGTGAGTTAGTCAACACCCACAGTTGACTCGTGTGATTCGAGATTGGATTGTGCCAGTTCAGAGCTATTTAGAAGGGTTCTGTGAGTGCGCATATGAAACTGGTGGGGGTTTGGTATTACCAAAAAGGTTAAAAACCACTATATGACCATGCAATACATATTTTAAAACAAATGTTAGTGATGAATTAATTTTGAATGTAACATAACTAGTGTACTGTGTGTATTAACTATTAGACTATACCGCATGTTAATCGGCTGAAGACGCAATGGAGGATTTATATTTTATTTTATATATAGATATTACGTCAGTATCATATGTCATCAGATCCACATGTCACATCATTTACAGATGTCAAGTCGGTTTTACATTTTATTTCAGATATATATGTCACTATACACTATAATTTTGCGGGGCAGCATTTTTTTTTCTATTTCCGCTACTGTTTCCTACATGTACTTAGAGTGGTCATTGAAATTCTCCCCTTGCCTACCTGTACTTAGAGGGGTCAGTAAAATTGTACGGCTGTATACGGATCAAGCCCATGTCATCTTCAGAGATTCTCAAAACCTGCAGCCTGAACACCTTGCCGTTGATATCTTCCTCCAACAGAAACACACAGTCCTGAAAGGGTTGAGATCCGTTCAATATATTACTAATGAATGCTACTAGCTTGTTTATTTGTTATCTTCGTACGTAAATTTAATACTGGCTTAAAAGATTGGCTTAAAAAATTCTTATCTAATTTTGAATTACTTTTAATAAATACGTTTCTATTTGTTAAAGAAGTTTGTTGAAGAAGTTTGTTGGCAAATATATATATATATATAGCCATGAAAAATGTCATAGTTTTTTCCATTAACTTATGCTGGAGTAAAGGCCGGTAACTACAGGTATTCAGAGTTGTCTGTCTTGAGCTCTACCAGTTATCTGGCTTTTTATTTTAAAATTCTAACAGAAAACACCGGAGACGTGTTATACAAAAAAAAAAATTTATGAGCATCTTGATATCTATAAAAATGACGACTTGTGCATTTAAAATTCGAAATACAAATTAATGATATAATTTTATTTCGCTATTACTCTAGAATTGGATGTAGTGAGAAGAAGAGCTAATCAGTTTTAAAATGTTGCTTACAATGTTTATCTGCTCTATCTGCTGAATTTATCCTAAAGAATACAGCTGGGATTTAAAAGATATCGGTAAAGGAAACGGTTTTTTTTTCATTGAAAGGTTACGCGGAGTATGGGACGGGGTGGTCAGATGGTAGAACCTGCGAATTCCGTCTCTGAGTTTGGATCCTGGGCTTAGTCCCTAAGTTTTAAACCCGGCTCCATATGCCCTGCTTGACGTTAGAGAAAGTAAAGGCGATGGGAAAGTGCTAACCAGTCTATCTCTGCATATATCGAAGTCACAGAAACAACTGAACTAACTTTTACTTACGGGCAGTAGAACGTCTAGCTGGATGGGGGTGTAGGTGACGTTCATGACGTCATGGATGACGTCCTCATCAAACAGGATGTCCTTCTTGACCATCTTGATGGCGCTGTAGTACCCGCTCAACATGTAGAGGAAGGTGGACAGGCGAGGAGATGGCGCTGGTGAGGTACACAATTTATTGTCTTAATAGATAGGTTTCTTTCAATTAAAATGTGTCTCAGTAGAGAAGGGTTGTTTTCATGGAAAAAAGTTTTCTCAATATATAGTGTTGGTATTTATAGAGCGTTTACGAAGATGAACATATTTGTGTTTTAATGGCTCTGTTGAAAAATGATACTTGCGTCGATAGTTAAGATTGTATTCGAATGATGATTTTAAAAAGTGTACGTAGGACATTTTGTGTGAAAAGTATTAATTTCGTCGATATTAACAGATGGCTATAGTAAGTGTATTAAATGCGGAGACATTTTAGTAATTTGAACCAGAATTCGTACTCGAAACTTTCGTTTTAGCAGTCTAGCTCTCTCCCGCTAGGCCCATATTGTGTCTCTAGTCTGAGCATCAACACTTCTCAAAGGTGAGCTAGGTGTAACTTGCTCGCACCCCTACATTTATTTACTAAACCTAATAGATGGGACGGCAGAGTCCTAAACATCTTAAAGGCGGTGGTCAGAATAAAATTGTGTGATGCCAGTGTTGGATTGGAACTTTTATCATTGCTATAGATCCATCAAGCAAAAGTAAACATCCACTGACGGTTTTTAAGACTGACAGATAAAAGACTGACAAGGCTGAAATTGATAGGGACAGATATAGACACAATACATTGACAAAAGGTTGACAGTGTCAAAATTTGACAGATAATAGACTGACGTTTTAAAAAAGAATTCCATTAACAAAATACTGATATTGACAAAAAAACAACATGTAACATACAAAATACGAATGTCATTATACAAACTTACTTTCTCTGTCTGTCGTCCATTATGGATCAAAATTGGCGAGCGAAATCTAGAGCACTTCTACCGGACCATTTCATTCAAACTTGGCACGTGGATCAAGATCCGATGACAATGCAATGTGACATAAACTTTGTCTTAGCTGCTTAATGATTTTTTAAAAATTAATGTTTCTCATAAAAGTAACACATTTGTTCGCACTAACAACACAAATTGGTGCATTCAAATGGTGCGCCTATTTAAGTAACGCACCTTTTATATAAAATAAAGTGGAGAGCCCTCCCCAGGCATGAAACTCTCTAATTACACCACCCCACCTGTGAAAACAAAGTGGCCAGACCGATGATTCAAGGACCAAAGGTATGAATCACTACCTGGCCGCGTATAATATGATGCAAAATTATTTATATAACTATAAAACGAAAAGCGTGGATAGTTTTTCCTGTATCTTAAACACTTACTATATCTAAAATTATATAAG